AGGGGGAGAGGACTCTCCGGCCGACGAGGAAAACGGACAACGAGCCTCTCGCGAGGATACCATCCGATCGGATACACGGCCTAGTCTGGATACCGAGACGAAAAACCTCGAAGAAATCCCTTTTTCCCGAACAAGCGGCGCTCGTCGCAACCCCGTCCCGGCCGTTTCTCGTTCTTCGGCGAAACGTTGCGATCGAAGGGATCGATCGTCGGTCGGCGCCCTGCGAGAAACCCTTCGCACGAACGCCGCCGCGTTTAGCATTCGCGGTCCGAGCATATGGAAATAAAAGCCGAGGAGAAGGAACAGGATTTCCTGTTCGATGGACTCGAGGCGCGTCCACCGGAAGAGCAACTCAACCGTAGATATCTTTCGGATCCGCGACCTTGCGGTTCCACGAGCGAATTCCTCCTTTTCTCGCAGCGCATTCGGCAATCCGGGAAAGCGTATTTTCTATCCCTTTCCGCCCGAGCGTGCGTGACTCATCCTCGAAACGGCTGTGCGTTTCCTGCGTTGTTCGTCGGGGAAGGCGATAACGGAGACGAGGCTCCAGCTGCGCTTCCACGATCCCCTACCGCTCTAAAAACCCTTCTTCTATTATTGTAACTTTGTCCCTATCTTTCGCTCAGCCCCGTGTCCTTTCCGAATCGCTGCTCTTTGCTCGTTTCCACGAAACGTTCGAAAATCGTGCGGCTCGTCGTTACTTTCGGTCGTCGCATCTCACTCGCTATGCCTCTCGCCTATATCGGTTCTTCGTCTAACGTTCGATCGACTGCACAGCCTCCTCCTTAATTTTCCAGAAAATTCCGAACGTATCGCACTCCGTATTCCTCATTCCGACCCAAGTCGCGACCACTTTGAAACCCTTCGTCCGCCGTACGCGGTTTTACGGCTAATGCTTCCACGTCGCGTCGCTTCGGCATTTCGCAGTTCGCTTGCTATATAGTTTTCGTCGTGTTCGATGAACGATCGTTAACGGTTACCTCGGAAAACCAACTCTGGCGGGGCTACGTCCATTTATCGGTTGTTCGCCCGCATCGCGGTTTCGCGATAGGCTGGAATTGTTCGATCGCGAGCCCCTCCGCGCAACGTAGCTCGGTTCGGCGAATTTCTTTTACTCGCCATCTGCTATCTAAATTACTATCCAAGCCGCTATCTAAATCGCGTGATTTTTACATAGGCAGGGAGCTCGAGCGGCAAGCCTCGCGCGTTTCGGCGTACAATAAACTTTGCAATTAGCGCGCGGCGTCTCGAAGTGGATCGAATTTGCGAAGCGAGACGCCGAGACGAGCAGGCCACGGCACGCCACGCAGCCACGTACATAACTATAGCCGGACGATGAGTCATGCCGGCAACTCCGCCCGTCTGTAGCTTTGTCAAACAGAAACCGCCCCGGGTCGTTTCGTTTCGTTTCGTTTCGTTTCGTTTCGTTTCGTTTCTTCGTTCGGCTGTTAAACGTATGGAACAATCGACGTGAATGCAATTAATCGCCGTGGGATGCGCTTTCCGGTTCCTGTCGGTTACCGCAGCACGAATACGGATTCGCGTTTTCAATGGTACGTTTCCCGAAATGTATATATATATATATATATATTCGGTCGAAAGATCGGACAGACTGGAAAACGATCGCGAGTCGTTCGCCCAAACTCGTTCACCGCAACTCGTCGGATCCGATTATTCGATCCGAATCGATTTCATCGACTTAACTGTATCCCGTTAATCCGTTATTCGGTTAAACGATAGGACTAGCTGCGGTTAAAATTCCGATAATCTAAACGTCGGTCTACCCGTATAAACCGCAAACCGTCTGCATCCTGTTGCAAACCATCCGATGTTCGCGGAGGATAACGACGGGCAGATTCGTTGAACGTTGCCGAGCCGAACGCGCCCTTTGACTCTTCGAAACGCCGTAGCGATGACACGTCGGGTCGTCCTTTGCCGTGGGACACGGTTGCCAATTAATTGCCAATCGATTTCGGCTTCTGTCGGCCAATAAATTCGGTATCTGCAAAACAGGAGTACCCGTGCACGAATGAGTCATTACGAACGAACCGAGCATGTTGCGTTTTCAACAGATGGCGGCACGATCCAACGATCGAATCGCCGTGCGGTCGATCCCTTCCTAAATCCCGTTTCCGCCGTCTTCTTCCACCGCGGCCAACGTGCGTTCGAACGATGTTTATAATTTTGATTCGTAACCAAGAGCAAACGGTCGAAAGTAAATATCAACAGAGTCGCGTCGTCCGAATCGCAAACCGAAAGACTGGTGGTACGCACAGTTGTGACAGCTTCATTGATATTGCTGGGTAGAATGATCTACTTTATTCAGATCTATTTTGTCATGGTATAAAAGTCGGTAGATAAAAAGAGACAAATATAAATACAAATACGCCTACAATGTAGTTTTATAAATACAAAACCAATCGTCTGATGCGGCGGCGGCGGCACTTATGGGGCTAATATATAATGGGGATTCTTATAAAACATACACTTATATCATAATAATTTATTTAAAAACGGTGGTGACCGCGACAGCGGTATACACTGGATACAAAGACGCGCCTCGTAAACGGTAAATTGAAAGAGAAACCGCGTAGAAAATAAAGGGAACGACAAAGTATTTCTCTCGAATCATTCGGCGAGTACGAAATTAATCGGAAAAGGCGCGCCTGTTTTTCACCATGGTGGAAAGAACAGTCTGTAAAAAAGAAATAAAAAAGACGGGAGGTAAACGCAGAGTTAAGAAGCGGCATGAGTGAAGATAGAGAGAGAGAGAGAGGCAGAGGGGGGACAGGGGGAGAGAGAGAGAGGAGAGAGAGAAGAGATAACGGGGGCTCTGTTTTCTCGTGGATGGTAAGAGGTCGCGCGTTTCTTTAGTTCTCGTCGACCTCGGCCTCCTGCTCCTCGTCGAACTCTGCGTCCTCGTCCGCGGTGGCTTCCTGGTATTGTTGGTATTCGGAGACCAGATCGTTCATGTTGGACTCGGCCTCGGTGAACTCCATCTCGTCCATGCCCTCGCCGGTGTACCAATGGAGGAAAGCCTTTCTCCTGAACATGGCGGTGAATTGCTCGGAGATTCTCTTGAACAGTTCCTGGATGGCCGTGGAGTTGCCGATGAAGGTGGCGGACATCTTCAGGCCGCGGGGTGGAATGTCGCAGACGGCAGTCTTGACGTTGTTCGGGATCCATTCGACGAAGTACGAGCTGTTCTTGTTCTGGATGTTCAGCATCTGTTCGTCGACCTCCTTCATGGACATTCTGCCACGGAAGATGGCGGCTACGGTGAGGTACCTTCCGTGTCGGGGGTCGCAGGCGGCCATCATGTTCTTCGCGTCGAACATTTGCTGGGTGAGCTCGGGCACCGAAAGAGCTCTGTACTGTTGGCTGCCGCGGGAGGTGAGTGGAGCGAAACCTGGCATGAAGAAGTGGAGACGCGGGAACGGAACCATGTTTACGGCGAGTTTCCTCAGGTCAGCGTTCAGCTGGCCGGGGAACCTCAGGCAAGTCGTGACACCGGACATTGTGAGAGAGACGAGATGGTTCAGGTCACCGTAGGTGGGCGTGGACAGTTTCAGAGTGCGGAAGCAAATGTCGTAGAGGGCCTCGTTGTCGATACAGTAGGTTTCGTCGGTGTTCTCGACGAGCTGGTGAACGGAGAGGGTCGCGTTGTACGGTTCCACGACGGTGTCGGAGACTTTCGGGGACGGTACGACCGAGTATGTGTTCATGATCCTGTCGGGATATTCTTCGCGGATTTTAGAGATGAGCAGGGTACCCATGCCGGATCCGGTACCACCGCCGAGGGAGTGAGTCAGCTGGAAGCCTTGCAGGCAGTCGCAGCTCTCGGCCTCCTTCCTGACAACGTCGAGGACCGAGTCGACCAACTCGGCGCCCTCGGTATAATGACCCTTGGCCCAGTTGTTGCCGGCGCCGGATTGCCCGAACACGAAGTTGTCGGGTCTGAAGATTTGTCCGAAGGGTCCCGAGCGAACAGAGTCCATGGTTCCTGGCTCCAAGTCGACGAGAATGGCGCGGGGCACGTATTTGCCGCCGGACGCTTCATTGTAGTAGACGTTGATGCGTTCCAACTGAAGATCGGAGTCGCCGTGATAGGTGCCAGTCGGGTCGATGCCATGCTCGTCGCTGATGATTTCCCAAAACTGCAACAAACAATTTCCCCGATTACCGGAAGAACGAGAACGAGATCCCTCCGAAGAATTCCAACGGTACTCGAGGTTCTCGCGGAACGCGTCGGTGGGAACAACGATCGATGATGATTCGCGTTAGCTGACCGTTGCTGTCTTTCCGTGATTATCCTCGCATCCGTTTCCAGTCTTCCGTGGTATCGACCGAGAGCGTACGGTTCGACGACCTCCTCGACGGTGAGTGGTAGCCGTGTGTAATTACTCGTAATGCGCGAGTTCATTAAAAACCCACCGTAATGAGAGCTATTTTCCTGATATATACACGTATGGTTTTTCTTGATTTTACATTCTTTTGTTCCGTACGAACAACGGATGCCGCTTTAACCGTAGCGAAGGATTCCTACTACGTACCTCGACCCGAGCGAACGCGTAACACGAAGACGCAGCGATGCAGCGCGTGCCCCGCGGTCGGCAACGGAGACGGTGGCAGCAGCGGCGGCGGCAGTCTCCTCGACTCAAAGAATGCGCGTATTTCTCTTCGTTATAGTTCAAAGACCCCCACCTCCCTCCGAATGTATTTCTGGAAATCGGTGTAGGAAGGAAGAGTGCCGCGACGAACGTCGCGAATGTATATATATATATATATATACATACGCACGTACACGTAGACGCGACTGTTTTTCAACAAAGCAACCGTTTTTCATTCGCCGATTCGATTCGAAAAATGTTGGACCCGATAGCGTATCTCCGCGAGTACTTCCTCACCGGCTACGAGCTTATCATAGGTCGAGAACCGTTCACGCGAACGGTGTTTGTCCAAGATGCCGGTAGATGCGAGCGTGTGCAGCCGCCGTCTCGATCCGAACAATTCGAAATTCGACATTCGAGGAGCATTGAGCAATTACTCGAACCGAGGAGAATATATAGGCGAACGCGATCTCGGGCGCACACCTACGTGATCCATTGCAGCGTCCTACATGGAAACGACGCCTGTATCGAGCTGTGTGACCATATATGAATATCGTTAGTGGGAAGCTAAGATCGCCCAGCCCTGTTACCTCCCACCCATCGTACCTGTACACGCAATGTACATGTATCGCTGTAGCGAGATATGAGTCACCAATGTCATCGCTATATATAGAAACGGGGACTGTAACATCGAACCTGTGCAATTAGCATAACACAATTTGCCCGATTTATGCACTCGGCCTCTCGTTTGGCCTCGAATCGATCGCACGGAAAGCAGCATCGTAGAATGGCTGAATGGGCCGGTCAATGGTCCAATTATTTCGTAAACCGCGACGCCTCCACCGCGCGTGAAAATCGATCGAGACCAGAGAAAATGGATCGCGAGAGTTACGTTGAACGGAAAAGGTTGCGGGTCCTGGTAGGGAACCAACAAAATGGCGTCGCCGCCTACTTAATACAGAGCTACCATTTGCTTTCCCCCTAGCAGCTGCCCGCCTGCTCTACGGCTTTTTTCTTTACGACCCTCCGAACGGTCTAGTTGGCAGATGGCTCTTCGGGCAGACGGAAGCTACGAGGGCCTATCGATGGGTCGCGACACGCCAAATCATTCTCTACGACAATCCGATCCTATTTTAGGACTATTTTTATTTTCGAACATTTTCGAGAAAATTCTAAAATCGGATCGGAATTCGTAATATCCCGAAAGAGGACAGAGATTTTCTAAATGGAGTGAGATTGAACGCTGATAGGATATCTTCTTTCTTTATTTGGAAGTATTTCGCGATGCTGTGCGAGACTCGATGTCCTTGGACTCCGAGATCCCTGAATGGACAAGTTGTAATCGTTGCACAACTCGGTGTAGTTTTTCGATACAGGGAATAAAACGGTTACAGGTAGCACTGGGTATGCTCGTGAGAAAATGTTTCGCCGTGAAAATCAATATCGCGACAATAGAGGAACAAGCAGCTAACTTGGGAAGCGGACGTTGACTCGATGAGGCAACCTTGAAAACTATGAGAGCGTAACTACGATCAGCAGTTCGTATTCCAATCTCTCGAGCCAGTTGCCATGATAATTCTCTGCATTATATAATGTTTTTGCAGACCGTAGCTTTGACCGAAATATATAGCGCGTCGCGTAACAACGCTTTCACGGGCTTACGCACCGTTCGTCTACGTTGTTACCACGATTCGAAATTTCATCGGAATAGATGCATCGCTATCGTTCCAGCGATTAGTCGTCTGGAATGGTTCTCGTTCGTTCGTTCGCAAGATGGAAGGTTTCTAAGGGGAAAACGAGAAAACGGAAGGGAAAGGCAAGAACGAAATTAAAAGATTCGTTTGAGATGACGATAATGGTGTGTGCCTACGACAATCTCGTAAGGAAAAAACGAAGAGAATGACGGAATCGAGCGAACGGGAGAGCGAACTAGAGGAAGAGAGATGGACAGTGCGAGAAGAGCACCGAATGCGCGCGCAACCGTTCGATTCTATTGCCGCATCAACCGGTATATTTCGACGCCCAGAGACAGCCACACCCAGCAGATGCGCATCGTGCGATCGAAATATTTTTCGCCTGTTTCGCGAGGAAAAGCCCTCTCGAGAATTATTTCCGATTAAATGGCACCGTAATTCGATTATCAGGCACGGAACGCGAAGGAAGCGCAGCGAACGCTCGACGACAACGCCGCATTCGAAACAACGACTCGGCGGAAAAAACCGTTAAGTATACTCGCCGGCCGGCGTAGTTCTGTCGCCATGACAGGTCTTCGACCGGACGAGGTTGCCATTTTTTCGCATACCAACCGTACCGAGTGCCCCTTGCGTCGTACGATATCGACATCGACGATACCGGCGATATCGTTTCCTGGCGAATACGACGCGATACGTGTTTCCACGAATTCGGAACGTCCGTTCCCGTACCCTGCTTTCTCGAACTTTGATACGTCGTCGAAGAATGCGGTAAGATGGCGGTACCCGGGTCTAACAATATCTTTCGATAATCCTCGTTCTCGCGTCTCGTCGCGTCGTGTCGCGTCGGATAGGGAAGGGTGTAGCGTCGACTGATTTTCCCGATTTTCCCTTGGAACGGTCGTGATCGCGACGGTCGAAAAATGGTAGGATTTCGCGAAAACTCCGTCGTAACGAGAGAGGACGATCGATCGCGGACGACATCGAACAAAGTGGGATTCGCGTTCCACGCGGTCGCGGAATCGAATTGTTCCGGGAAACGTCGAGACTCACCTTTGCGCCAATTTGGTTTCCGCACTGGCCAGCTTGAATGTGGACGATTTCCCTCATGTTGCTCGGTAGTTTGTTGAACTTCTTCGGAATTTACTGACTGTATCGAACTGACGACGAGACGCACGCTAACTCGCCACGAGAGCCCAAAGACGAATATGCCCTGGCACCGGCGTCCGTTACAGATTTTCAAGCTTCGACTGGATCGCGGTGGGGCGACGGGGGAGGCTCCTCCGACGCTTCCGATTGGTCGAGGCGCGGGTTCCACCACCTTTTCACCAGCCAGCGTCGGCAGCGTTGCCAACTGCTCCAACGAGTCTGCGCCGGATGGCGCCCAAGCCGCTGGCGAATGAATCTGACATCGTTGAAAATTTCGATTCGCCAAAACTGCGGACCGCCGTTCCCGTCCCACGAATGCGACCGACCTCTTTTTCTTTTCTGTACACTTTGGGTGAGTCTGCTAGAAGGAGAACATTGATTTCAGCCGTACGAGTTCGGCCGCATCGTACTTTCGTCTCGTTTGTCCAATGATTTGCGAACTCTCGCTTCACGCGAACCGAATTCGCGACGCAGCGTCCACGCAATTACGATTCTAGCGAGCGTCTATCGTTGCTACGAGACCGCTCGAGTTTCGGTACAACTGTCATCGATCGTTCGAACACGGTTGCGAGTCGAATGCGTTTCTTTTCAAAATTCCCGTCAATTTTCGAAACCGGCGAATCTACGTACACCGCGTAGAAAAGTGAAAGCGCGAACGGTTATCTGGCTCGGGGGTATGGTAATCGAGGAATAATCCGTTCGGAACCTATCGCCGAATAATTCGAGAGAGGGCCGCTACCCCTAGAGATTGGCATTTTAATCATTCGCTTGGTTCGTAGACATGCTCGGGAGTCTAGTTTCCCGTGGAAATCGAATGACCTCCTGCGAATTACGATCGACTAAATGTTCAGGTTTACGTGCGGTATAGCATAAACGGTTATCCGATTGCGGTCTTTTCCTCCCTCGGCCACAACTCGTCTTGGACCTACCCCTCCTATCCCTACCTGTCCGGAAGAAAAGTCGATACGTGAGTCACTGTCGTACACGCCCACCCAAATATTGCGGGTTTAATCGAGGGTACATCTTACGGGTACGAGAGACGAGGCAGTGACCGCATGCTGCAATGCGCGCATTTCGAATAACCTTCTGTTATTCCGCGAATTACACGAATTATGAATTCGATCGCGTCGCAACCATCTGTTCTCGATCGATGCTGGACGATATCCCTATCTCGGAACGGCCCGTAAATCGATTCGATACATTTCGGGAATGCGTGTGCGCGCGTGTGCGTGTGCGTGTGCGTGGTTGGACACGGGCACGCAGGACGCGAACGAGCCTGGAGAGGAGAACAGGTACGGTGGATTACGCGTTGCAACGTGTAAGCCAGTCTCTTCTCACCGTTACCATGTATGGATCACTCACTCTTCGTCCCGAAAAAAAACTGACTCGCGATCGTGTAGACGCCCGCGCGTTCATCTACGCGTACAGTCTACAGACCCGTGCATGTATGCGAACACAGTCTCGGGCTGATAGACACGCGTCGCGATAGGTGCACGTAACGGTCATGCCGTAACAGAGGATCGAGGATCATAATTATCATCGACGTAAAGTCCATTCGACGGAGGAGCGGAGCAAGGGCGACAAGGTTCTTTCGGTTCTTGCTGCTCTCCTCTGCTCTCCTCTCCTCTCCTCTCCTCTCCGGTGCTCTCTGTACGCGTAATCGTAAATACCGTTGAACGCGAGAAAGTTTGGTCGCCGGTGGACGATACCGGTAGGCAGATCGCTTGGATAAAACTCGGCGAGCATCTACGTGTCACGGTATCGATTCGAGAGGATACGCTCGAATAGATTAGTTCTACTCTCATTGTCCTTCGCCGGTCGTGCCATTAAATGACTTCGCGAGTGTATAAACGCTCGGTGACATCACGTCCAATTTAGACGGACGGAGACGTCGAGCACGTTCCAGCGAGCCAATCAAAGGAAAAAAAGGCTCGCCTCGTTATTACCTACCGCGAATCGCGCCATCGGTCTCCGTAATGGACGCGGTCAGTTTCAGATTCGAAAATCCTTGAAAATTCTATCGGCAATCGCCGTTGCGATACAACCTCGTATCAGCTTTGTTTTCTACGCGCGATAACGGTGAATCATCGTCACCGATCGAATTTCGCTTCTATAGACGAGCACCTACCTGCACCGGTCGGTTCTCCAGCCGACGATAAACGCACGGGTCAACGTCGACAGCCTGCTAGAAGGAAACTGCGATAGACGAGATATCCGGTGCGGCTGAAAATTCCCAACGCCGCTAATTAACAGGATCGACGTTGGGCGTTGGCTACTGGAAACGAGGACCGCGACATACCGCACGCGTGTCGGAACGGACTCGTTCGATCGCGATGTTACTCACCTTTGGAAAATCATGATTTTCAGCCTACGAAAACCGTCGAGAAACGGCTCGAGAAGAGCCGGATTTCGACGGTTTCTTCGTCGCCAAAAGGTTCGACGGAAAAAGTAAAAGTAGCAGTTTTCGCGTCGACGAGAGAGGCACCAGGTACCGTTGCCCTCGTGTTTCTCGGTCGATCTACCGGGTAAACGAAACCGTGGTAAAGATCGTCGGAGCGTTTTCGAGTTATCCGTCGACGACGAGGCGAGAGAGAGAGAGAGAGAGAGAGC